TTCCTTTTACTGTTTACATACCAAAAAAAAAACCCTTTTTGTTATTCTTTACTGTAGCGACCAAGATGAGCTCAGCTTGAGCCTTGGCCCTTCTAATTTTCCCCCTGCATATCTTCACTGCTTCCTGGTATTTCTCCTTGCCTGCCAGGCCCCTTTTCCAAAGATCATAAACCTTCTATTGTTCCTGAGCTCCAGCCGAAGCTCTCTATTTAGCCAGGCTGGTCTTCTTCCCTTCCTGCTTGATTTTTGGGACTTGGGTATGGCTTTATCCTGTGCCTTTAAGAGTGCCTCCTTGAAGTATGACCAGACTTCCTGGGCACCCTTGCCCTCAAGGAAGTCCAAGGTGGCGGTCTTGCTGGCCCTTCAGCTTGCTTCAGCAAGAATCGAAAATTTTATCATTTCATGATCACTTTGTCCAAGACGGCCTCCAACGTTTACATCCCCCAAAAGACCCTGTGAGTTAACTATCAGCAGGTCCAGTAGGGCACTTTCCTTGGTCGGTTCCCTCACCAGCTGCATTAGGAAGTTGTCTTCCACACACTCCAAGAATCTCCAGGACTGTTGCCTCTCTGCTGTCTTGTATTGCCAGCAGATATCAGGGAAGTTGAAGTCCCCCATGAGTACAAGGGAGAGTGATTGTGAGGCCTCTGCCAGCTGCCTATAGAAAACTTCATCAGCCTTTATATACTGGTTTGGGGGTCTATAAAAAACTCCCACCACAATGTCTACCTTACTGGTCTTCCCCTTGATTCTTATCCATAGGCACTCAATACTGTCATTGTGCATATTGCTGAGTTCCAGGCATAAAATACTGTTCTTAACATAAAGGGCCACCCCGCCACCTCTTTTTCCTTGCCTGTCCTTTCTGAAAAGTTGGTAGCCATCGATCACAGCACTCCAGTTATGCGAGTCCTCCCACAATGTTTCTAGATTATAGTTTTCCTGCTGCATGTTGGCCTCCAGCTCCTCCTGTTTGTTGCCCATGCTGCGTGCATTCATGTAGATGCACTCCAGCTGGGCTAACCGTCCCACTATTTTTCTGGAAGGGCTGGCACCTTTACATAATAGCACTGGTGCACTGCTCCTGGGCACCACTTTAGTAACCCTGGTTCCAACCCTGTCCCCCTTCAAATCTAGTTTCAAGCTCTCTCAATGAGCCCTGCTAACTCCTGTCCCAATATCCTTTTTCTCCTTTGGGTTAGGCTTCCCCCACCTGCTGCAAGCATTCCTGGTGACCTGTAGATCAGCCTGTGCTCAAAGTCCTGCCGTTTACTCCAGTCTTTTAACCATGAGTTGATCTGTTGTTTTTTCCTACTTATCCCTTTCTCCATCCCTATGTCTGGTGGGATAGAAGAGAACACCACCTGTGCTCCTGACCCCTTGACCAGTCGTCCCAGAGTTCTGAAATCCCTTTTCATTGCCTTGAGGCTTCTGGTAGTCACCTCATCGTTGCCCACTTGAAATATCAGAAGTGGGTAATGATCTGAGGGCTGAACCAGGGAGTGGAATTTTTGTTCGTATGAAGAACTCTAAAAACTGCCAGGAACATAACGAGTAGGAGAAAATGCTTCTCGTGTTTATTTGGGCATCAGCGGTCAGTTCACTTGGCGAAAGGATTTCCCACCAGGCTCCTACAGGATCCCCGAGATGCTGCCCTGTCTCTATGAACGGCTCCAGTAGAGCTTGCAGTTCCCTGCATGTTTCTTTGACCACCCCTGACACCTTCAGTGTCACCGAGATTGTGTCTGAACAGCCCAATCCCACCCTCCATCTCCATGGATGAATGTGGGAGCTGAGACAAGGAGCTCACACGCAGGAGCCTGCTTCTGTGCACACCTCAATCCCTGCAGCAATAGGAATCCCACCTCCTGTGGGTTTGTGGCAGGCATGGAAAGGGAGCTGAGGTTTATTCAAATGCTCAGAAGAGAAACGCAGGATGAGATGCTCCATTGACTCAGCGGGATCCCTTCCCTCAGCAGGGGTAACGGGGATCCCTGCCTGTCACTGTCTGGGTGTCCTGTCTAATAATTAGCCCAAGAAAGGAGATCTTTACATGTAATTCTGAGAGGAGAACAGATACTTCTGGAAAGAAGAGTCACTCCCCAGCTGAGGGAGGGAACATCAGGGAGGACTTCAGCCTGTTTCTCAGCAGGTTCCCCTGGAGCCCCAGGGACACCTGGAGGGAGCCCCGAGGGGGCAGAGGACGTGCTGCCGTTGGCTGTTCCTCTGCTGCTGAGCTGGGCCAGGCTCCTGGGATGGAGGGAGCTCCTGGCAATGGGCAGCGCTGCAGAGAGACAGCTCTGCCCAGGAGCAGGGCTGGAGACACTGCCTGCAGGCAGCCAGGGGAAACCTGCGCAGCTGAGAGAGCTTAAAGGCAGGTGGGAGTGGGAGGATGCTGAGAGCTCACTGGGGCAGAAATCTTCACAGCCCTCTGCATGGTAAGTCTCTGGATGCAGGGCAGTGCAGCTGCAGTTCCGGGAGGGATCTTCTAAAGCTGGCACATCTGACAGCTGATGGGATCTGTCAGGAGGGCTTTCTTAGTTTCTCTGCTGTAGAAGAGGAGGAGGTGCTCCAGAGCAGGGCTTCTCTGCCGCACCATGAGAGGGACAGGGCATGATGGGTCCCCTCTCCCAAGGAGGGCTGCAGGGGGTGAAGGTGGGTGTGCAGCCAGGGGTGCCCAGGGCTGTCCTTCCGAGCAGGGTCCCTGCACCCCAGGGCTCTGTGTGCCGGGGCAGGGACTCTGCCGCCTGCCAGGGTCAGCTCTCAGCCTGCCCGGGGAGCTCCCCATGGAGCTGTGGGGAGAAGCTGTGGGTGGAAGGAGCAACCTCTGGCAGGGCAGCGTTTTTCTGTCCAGAGAGTGCTGCATGGGTCAGTGCTGCCCACAGCTCCACATCACTGCAGGACATTCCCAGGAGACTTTTCAAGAAGCACAGCAAGGAGGGGGCTACATGAAAGGGCAGGATCCTGTTCTTCCAATCTGCCACTCTGCATTGTCCGGGTGGGCAATGGGACAGAGAAACTCATCTCTCAGTTTAGGAGGAATTACTGTTAGGGGGTGAATAAACTACAGAGCATTGGAAATGCACACAGTCTGGCTTACAGGCAGCATCAACATGGCTTTTCCAGGCTCATCATGTCACCCTGATGTCCCCATGGAGCCTGCACAACCCGAGATGGCCCTGGGCAGTGCCTGGCTGCTGGGAGGTTCTGCAGGACAGAGCTGAGCCCCAGCGGGTGGGATGGGCTCTGGGAGCACTGGCAGGAGAAGAGCTGGGGAGAGAGAAAGAGCTCCTGGCAGGGACAGCCCCAGGCAGCAGAGACATGGGCAGGGGCTGGGGGGAAACTGCCCATACACCCTGGGGGAGGGTGCCTTCACTCTCCTCTCCAAGCCCTTTGCTTCTCTCGGAGAGGAGTTGTGTTCTGCTCTCTGCCTCACAGCTCCATTTCAGGGCTGGCACAGGGAAGAGTTCGTATAGATGCCTTTTACAATAGTGCTCCACTGATCCCTTATGAGTTCTGATATTTGTGTTATTTTAAAGTGCAATTTGTGTGTGAAGTCATCTTCAAGGCAGCACAAGTGAAAGCGGAGGGCAGATGGGAAAAGACTGATGAACACTGCAGCTCTCCAGGCTCTGCCCTGAGCCACAGAGAGCTGAGCACTTTTGTCTGTCCCCTATCAAGAGTCTTGACGTTTAAATAACAAAAATGAGGATTTCTACCCCTCAAAAGAACACTCACCAGATGTGAAGGTGGAAGATAAAAACCACAGATAAAATTATGGTATCATTTAAGGACATGCTCAACCTCTCCTCTGCAGCCCACACTCTGGGGAGTCCTGAGTGCAGATATTGAACTTTCCAATTAAAGGTGGATTCCATCTGACATTCCTTGTGAGCGGGGGAGCTGTCACAAAGCAGCTCCCATGGACCCACTGCAGCAGTGCAAAGCTTTCTCTTTCCAGAGAAAGGACATGAATTTCAACTGGGAGATATTTATATAACAAATGGGGAGGCTTTGCTTAAAGAATTGTGTCTTATATTTTTCCTCATTTTATTCTTTGGACAGAGCTCCCATGCCAAGAAACAGCAAATGTCCAACAGCAGCTCCATCACCCAGTTCCTCCTCCTGGCATTCGCAGACACACAGGAGCTGCAGCTCTTGCACTTCTGGCTCTTCCTGGGCATCTACCTGGCTGCCCTCCTGGGCAACGGCCTCATCATCACTGCCATCGCCTGTGACCACCGCCTCCACACCCCCATGTACTTCTTCCTCCTCAACCTTGCCATTCTTGACCTTGGCTCTATCTCTACCACTGTCCCCAAAACAATGGCCAATTCCCTGTGGGACACGAGGGCCATCTCCTACTGGGGATGTGCTGCACAGCTGTTTCTGATTACATTCTTAATGTCAGCAGAGTTTTATCTTCTGACAGTCATGGCCTATGACCGCTACGTTGCCATCTGCAAACCCCTGCACTACGGGACCCTCCTGAGCAGCAGAGCTTGTGTCCACATGGCAGCAGCTGTCTGGGCAAATGTTTCTCTCTACGCTTTACTGCACACGGCCAATACATTTTCCCTGCCCCTCTGCCAGGGCAATGTCCTGGACCAGTTCTTCTGTGAAATCCCCCAGATCCTCAAGCTCTCCTGCTCAGATACGTACCTCAGGGAAGTTGGGCTTCTTATCTTAAGTTGTATTTTAGCTTTTGTTTGTTTTGTTTTCATCATGCTGTCCTATGTGCAGATCTTCAGGGCCGTGCTGAGGGTCCCCTCTGAGCAGAGACGGCACAAAGCCTTTTCCACGTGCCTCCCTCACCTGGCCGTGGTGTCCTTGTTTCTCAGCACTGTCATGTTTGCCTACCTGAAGCCCCCCTCCATCTCCTCCTCAGTCCTGGATCTGGTGGTGGCAGTGCTGTACTCAGTGGTGCCTCCAGCAGTGAACCCCCTCATCTATAGCATGAGGAACCAGCAGCTCAAGGATGCCATTAGGAGTCTGATTTCATGGACATTTGTCAAGAGTGAGAAATTTTCCAGCTCTCTTCACCAATGACTCCCACAATATATCATTACATCGTTTTATTTTTTTATTTTGATGTGTTGTTTTGATTCATTGTATTTATCGTTATTGCTGGTTTTATTCTCATTCATGTTTATTTTATTTCTACAGAAATGTCTGCATTTACATCACGGCACCTGAGACATGTACCTACTTGGTGTCACCTGGTTCCCTTATAAAAGTGTGTTTAACAGAGGCTCAGAGCTGGCCTTTCTCATGGCATCTGTGTAATAAAATGGGATCTCCCCAGTGCTGTGCTTCCATACTGGGCTCTTTCTCCAAACAGGTTTGAGGAACTGCAAACTGCACCCCTACAGATGTAGGACTGGATTTAGGAGTCACCAGTTCCTGTTTGGTGACAGGGATAATGGTGAGTGTGATTAAGGGATGTACCCAGGGCTTTCACTCAATGACATTAAGACCATCCATCCTCTGGGAGGGGAATTTGGAGCCATCTGGAGAGCATGGAGCCTTGCTCCTCCTAATAAAACCCCCTTTGCAGCTGGCCTTGTGCATGGAGACCATGCACCACTGGCTCCTTTGGTGTCCTTCATGGTGCCCAGGCCATTCTTCTCAGGGTCATTACTCATCCTTTTAGGTTCCCTGATATATGGGTTTTTCTTCCCCTCCCCAACACAGGACAGACCACTTTTGCAAAACTTCAGACGCTTCTGTTTCATTCAAGGTGCAGGTTAGGGGTTGGTTGACCTGCTGGAAAGCAGCTCTGCAGGGAGGGACCTGGGAATCCTGGTGGACAACAAGCTGACCATGAGCCAGCGATGTGCCCTTGTGGCCATGAAAGCCTATAGTCTCCTGGGGTGCATTAAAATGAGTGTGGCCAGCAGGTGGAAGGGGGTCATTCTCTTTCTGTACTCTGCCCTGGTGAGGCTACCTCTGGAGTACTGGGTCCAGTTCTGGGCTCCCCAGTTCAAGACAGGCAAGGAACAACTCACAAGAGTTCAGGAGGAGAGGGCTGCAAGGATGGTCAAGGGACTGGAGCACCTCTCTGACGAGGAAAGGCTGAGAGACCTGGGTGTGTTTTGCCTGGAGAAGACAGGACTGAGAGGGGACCTCATCAATGCTAATAATTATCTAACGGGCAGGTGTCAAGAGGATGGGGTCAGGCTCTTCTCAGTGGTGCCAGGTGCCAGGAAAAGGCACAACAGACACAAGCTGAAACACAGGAAGTTCCATCTGAATATGAAGAACAATTTCTATACTTAAAGGGTGGCAGAGCCCTGGAACAGGCTGCCCACAGAGGTTTGTAGAGTCTCCTTCTCTGGACAACAGTCTCCTTCGTAACCCGCTTGGATGCATTTCTGTGCAATCTGCTCTGGGTGAACCTGCTCTGGCAGGGGCTTGGACTAGATGATCTCCAAAGGTCTCTTCCAAACGCTACAATTCCGTAATTCTGTGATTCTGTTGGCCCAATCCCAGAATTTCTCAAATTCCCAAATGGACTGAAGCTCCATTTGGTCAGTTCTTGTTTTCATGCAGACACCTCATGGTGGTTAGAGTGAGCCATCATTACAAGAGCACTGCAGGAGCAGTTGCAGGATACAGTGTCTGATTAAAGGAGTGGCTAGTTTTGTAGTGACGAACATAGGATTCAGCATGACAACCCTCTTAGAAACATGATACAAGGGCACAAAACAAGCCAAGGCCGGGCCAGCAGGGAAAGAGCAGCGTTGGGCTGTCTGTGGGGGGAATCTGTGAGCTTGATTAAAGAGAAGAACTTGGGAGGGGGCAAGAGGGAAAAGGAAAACCAAAACTTCAGCTCCAGATATGATGACAACTGTTTGGGGTAACCTGCCAACCAGCCTTGAGTCACTGACCTGAGTGGGACACAGTCATTGCAGATGGGTGAACCAAACTTATGTCCTCTTACCTCCGTGGTCATGGGGAACCCGAGTGCTCTCCCTGTCATCATCAAGAGAAGAGCCCTGGTGGAAGGATATGCACAATCGCTCATCCTGGAGGCGCCTCGGGAGGTTTCCAGGCTCCAATCCACTGTCTGTGGAGAAAGGAAACTGAGGACTGGACTGTTTGCGCCCTTGATTATGTTAGTGGGAGATGTTACCTGTAGAGATACACAGACAGCACGGATCCCTCCAGGAGCTGGTCTTAGACCCTCCATCTGTCCAGGAGCTGGCCTTCAGATTCCCTCATCCCTCCAGTTCCCCCGTGCACAGACAAGCAGAAAAACATACAAATGGCCCTCTCCACAGAACCCTTGAGGCTGGAAGGTGCCAGTGTCCACCTTCTCTGTGCTTCTTCTTCATGCTTGACGTCAATCAGGAGCTCCTTTCTCATCCATGCCAGCCTCCTGCCACCTCAATGTGACTTCCTGCACGTTGGGATGGACCAGTCTGGATCATGAAGAAATGATCCTTGACAACAAAGGACTCTCTGCAGAACCCACGTGGCCACACCAGACATCCCCTGGTCCAAGGTTCTCCAAATTTACCTCCCTAACTCTTAAGCCAATCAGTCTTTACAGTATGACAATGGATTGATTTTCTGAAGGTATCTATCTCTATAGCTCACATTGTGTACTGATTTATTGTGCTTGAGTGAGTGAACTAACGGACACCAGCTCATCACAAGAACCAGAAGAACAGCCCTGCCCTCAAAACAAGGACTTTGCTTCTCAGAATCGCAGAACTGACTAAGAAGGATAAAAGATACCCCTGGAGATCCAAGATAAGGCCAGTGTCCTGGTCCCTCTAACACATCTTTGAAACTCTCCCAGTGTCCAGCATCACAAATCAGTAACTCCCAATAGACCTACTCCAAGGACAGCTAGAACGATAGACAAGGAGTGAGAATGCTCATGGATGATGGTGCTGCAGAATTAAAGTTGTTTTGCAACGTTTTACTGTGATTAGGGATTGGTACTATTTATGTTAATCAGTGATTAGTCAAATCATATGGTACCTGAATGCTTGAACGTTGTCAGAGACCTGGGTAAAACCACATTTCGCGGAATCACAGAATCACGAAATTGCTGGAGTTGGAAGTGACCTTCTAGAGATCACCTAGTCCAATTCCCCTGCCCAAGCAGGATTGCCTATAGCCCATTACTCAGGACTCCATCCAGATGCATCTTGAAAATCTCCAGAGAAGGGATTCCACA